CATTTACACATGTCAAATCATTTATTTTATTTGTCAGTTTAGACTGCAAGGTCTCTTTTTGATAGCTAAAGTGGTATTGTTTTTTGTAATTGTAGCCGTGTTGGTCGTTATTTTAATATTATTATCGTGTTGCTAAGTTAAAATGAAGAATTATCCAAGAGAAGAGCGTATTGACCTGATTTTCACCCTTGGAGAATGTCATAAACATTGTTTATTGGCTTCTCGAGTTTATGCTCAAAAGTTTCCTGAAAGAAATTATCCTAAGCTATTAAAACCAACACTTATTTTGCTCAGAGAATCCAAAAATGCAATAAAATATAAGGTATTTCATTTAGAAAAACACAACTTTGATACTTTTGGGGCTTTTGGGACACTCTGTACATTACAAAAATATTTTTAAAATGTGCCTACCCGATAAGCGTCTGTGGATTCATCAAATAATACTTTGCAAAAAACAAACGGGCTAGCCGCAAACGTCCGTGCCGTATAGCGTGAATGACCCTGTATATTGAGTCGAAAAGTGTTGCTTTGAAAATTATAAACAATGCTTTACTCACTCGGTTATAATGCTGGCAAAATCGCCGGTTTGGTTTTGGTCGTACCAGCCAATGTCCTGATTGATCGTTTTTTCCATGAACAGTTTCCTCATTTTACATGTCTGCAAACTGTGGCTTTAGAAAATGGTTTCACTTTCTGCTGGGTCTTTTTTAGTGTTGAAATTTGCAATTTTTTCGCATTTTTTGTCCAACTTTGAGGGTTTTTTTTGGAGTCAACAAGCCAAATACTTAAGACATTTTGATACTGTTTTGAAGCTTCAATAATTCTCTGTCGAATCCGATATTGATTGACTTTTTGGCAACACTTTCTTTGCATTAAATTCGAAAAAGTGACCCATTTTGCGCTTGTTTAACCAACTTAAAAAAAATACTTACTTGTCTTAAGGAGCTTTGCGTGAAAAACACAACCGAAATGTAAGTGCAGACAAGGATAATCAATGCACTCACACTGGTCATGATGGCGAAATATTCGGTGCCATCGTACAGTTTCTCTGTGGTCAGTTTTTCTTCTTCGAATGTTAAATTGGCATTCATCGCTGTGGTGAAGTCCAGTAGAACACCAGAAACATCTCCGAACAGAACCATTAGATACGGTTGGAAAACGCCGCATATTATGGACGCGATTATTCCAACCGCTATTAAGAGTTTGTCGAGGAGTGTGGCAAATTGAAACTGGAAATTACCGAAGAAAAACCCAACAAAGTGATAGATAATGAGCGGGTATTTGAAGTCGCTCACACATAACTAAAGAGGTTTTAATTGGTTTAATTTGGCCCAAAAAATTACCTACCAGTTGATGATAGGGCACATCTGGCTGCCTCTCAGGTGGTCTGCAAAAAAGGAAAAATCGCAGTCAAGTTTTTTGGAAAACTTCGAAACAAAACCGAAATCGTCCACTAAAACTGTACTTACTCTTGCTGGTCACTGGAGTGATTTTTTTTAATTTCCATTGCAACCAGTGACTTCGAACGTCTAAACTGATTTACTTCAGACGCTCTTGACTTCTGAAAAAAAATCTATTCCGCACGCTTCCAACTTAACCAGCAATAATTGCTATCTGTCACACTTTTATTAGTCTTAACACTATGCCAGGCGTTAATTGGAAATTAAAGATTTTGAATTGAGCAACCTTAACATTGGCGACGTACTCATCTACTCAAATAGCGCCCAACTAGTTAAACCTTATCTAAATGTGGCTAATAATACTGTTTAATTGTAATTTTTTACTTTCATATTGCAAACAAATGCAAATTCAGTTTACTTTGGGATTTTCAAACTGGTTACCACTTAGCAACCAGATAAGGATATTGAAAGGTGGCCAGCAAAAGCTCCAGACTTAGCAGTGATGGATTTTTCATCGTTCCACCGCCCAAGTGTCAACTTTCTTCAACTAAACGTCTTTAAAATCCCCACAAATGTAGACACATCAGACAATGGGCAATAAAGATTGCCAAATGCTTGTTACAACAGAGCAATAAAGATTTTTTTGGTTTAAAATTAACAGTTTGTTATTATGACTGCTAAGCGCAGCTAATTTGCAAAACATTTGATAACTGATTAATTGAGCAATGTCTCCGTGTAAAGCTGAAAATTTTACAAATATACAGGGTGTCTTGTATTAAGGGGCAAATGATTAATAAATGTAAGCGGCAAGAAGAAATTCACTCACTTAACACGTAAAAACAGTAAAAAACATCTAATGGGTAGATATGGAAGACTTACCTCTTGAGCAACGGCTCGTTTTCAGACATTTTAGACCGGAATTAATGCATTTAGGCGGATAATTTGATTGAACTGAACCTGCTATGGGAAGTAAAGTGCCCCAATCTGTTGGGTTATCTCGAAATGTTATTATTAGATTTACTGATCCCAATAAAATGGAAAAGTCCGTGTAAAGTCTAAAACCGTGATTAACAGTTTATCGAAATTGACCATCCTGGCAATTGAATGTTTGTTAAGAATATTCAAGAATAAGTAAATATTATGATGAAAAAAGAAGAAAAGCCTGCGAAAACTTTGCATAGATTTACAAAAATTGTTCCGACGTGGAAAAAGGTCGGAAAAAAATTATCTGAATGCTAAGAAAGGTTTTCGTTCAAAAAACTACTATACAGAGTGACCCAAACACAAGTGGCGTG